ACATCTGATTGCACTTCTTAACGTTTTCATAGGACAGGCCGACTGTCAACAACGTCTGAACTTGGCCCAAGCTCCTTCCCAGCGCGTGACACCTTCGTTAAACTCTCGGTAACGGCCATTACAAGAATCTTGAAATTTGGCCTCTAACCCCAAATGTAGTAACGTTCACACTTTTGTTTAAGTCTTTGGGAATGCCATCATAGTGAATTTTGAACAGGTTTACGACTGACCATGTTTTCCAGATGAATTTACTATGTTGTTTGTATAATCAGATTGGTTCGAGATTGCAGACTAACGTTAAATCAACCAACTTCTTACTATATCAATACCATGATAGTTTTAATGAAATAGAAATTGACAAACAAAGAAAGTAATTTCAGGTGTAAGTGCATTCGGCGTCACGACAGTCGTCACTTGTTTATAAACATAACGGCCATTCGGTTGCGAGTTCAACTTCAAGCATTGTTGGGGCCACCTATCAATGTGGGGAGTTTTGACTGGTGGCAGCGATAGTATAGAGAACTCCGCGAACGGGCTATCGCTGCAAGGAGCTTGAACGTGGCCATGACGTCTCATCCACTAGGGTTAGAGTAGCTTCCCTCTGACAAAGGGCAGCTACTCTAGCGGGCAGACCGATGGATTGCCGCGAAATGCAAGTAAAACCATTTTTTTTTTCCGTATATGTTGCTTCGCCACTGTATAAGAAACAGATTTCAGTTGGAACTATATTGGCTACTGTCACTGTCCGACTGACACATCACTTACCCTGTAATGTTTGTGAGAGAGGGAAAGCGATTTTCAAGCACAGAATTAAAGAATGACATTATATGATAAAGAGGTTATCACGCTTGTGTGTTTGGGGATGGTAAGTATCCTATTAGAAATGAACATTGTATTTAGCGAGCCTTGGCGAGGATATTAACCATTCCCAAACACACTCGCGTGATAACCTCTATTTATTTCAGACAATAGTTAAGTTGTCACACATTCCATTTCTTAACATACAAACACAAAAAACACTGTTTTCTGGTCGCATTGCAGTCAACATATGGTATTATTCATGTTGAAAAGTTGCGTCCGATGAACCTCCACCGGAAGCTTGATCAGAGCATATGTGGGGCAGTAAGAAATTGATCGCGATCGCTGTAACGCTGTGAGCAATGATGAAAGTGGCCGGATGAAGCGAACGTAAAATATTGCTTTCCCTGCGTGTTCTGCAGCGTCTCTGTGCTCACTTTATGCTTCAGACACGTGTGTCCGACGATGTGGTACCTATGGAATACTGTAAGGGACAATCTCGAGATCTCGCATTCTCGAGATCTCGACCTTTGGAAACGAACTAAATATGCCCAAAACACACGAATACGAGATCTCGAGAACGCGAGATTTGGCCAAAATAACGCGTTCTCGCGATCTCGTGTTTTTGATACATAGCACTTTGTGTCAAAAGTCGACAACGCGAGAATGCGACATTTGGACATGATGAAAAATATCGCAATCTCGCAATCTCTACTTGTCAAATTAGGCAACAAAGACACGAATTCGCGAGAACGCGAGAATGCGACATTTCACTTTATCGCGATCTCGCGTTCTCGTTTTTTTAGACGCTGTCCGTGCGCATGCGTAATATCATAAGGTCAAAGCGCATGCGTACGTTAGTATTCCTGTGGTCATAGTTCTTTCATGCTCTTCATTCTCCAAGTAGCATTTAACAGACTTATGACGTGACCTATGTCCTATGTAGAGTAGAGTAGAGTCTTCTCCCTTTGGTACAGTTTCCCATGTACTATAAGTTAAAACCCTTAACATGCTCAATACAATTTAACAAAAGAAATTGTGTACATGAATGTCCAGTGATAGTGAAAACATTAAAGTGTCCAAAAGCTGGAAACAAAATATCACTGTCAGTCAGAGAGTAAATATTGCTTAAAGCCACATCAGTAGTATTGCAGCTATTCGCGGCTGCACTGTCAGTTACAGAAATAATCACAGGCCATTGATTTTCTCCATGAGGCAATATTATACACGGCTGGCATATTCATTAAAAAAAATTTCTCAAAGATCAATTTGTTGCATTCGGCTAAAATGAGATTGTCCGATATTTTTACACGACACCATAGTCGCTACTTTAGGCCATACAAAATGAATTAATAGATTTTCATCCTCTCCCACCTGACTACAAAACATACTGCCTTACATTATTCTATGGCCACAAAGTTTCTAAAAATAGAAATATCGCATATGTGTGTTCCTACACCGTACACGTAGCCCTACTGAACACGCATGATGCATACGAATCGCACCCTTCGACAGCAATTGTACACACATGCCTTAAATAGTTCGATAAGAAAACAATAAAATGTTAAATATAAAATGCGTTCCGTCTCCCATGTATTTTAAAATTCAATCAGACTCTAACTATTAATATATTTCGGCTTTGACATCCACATGATAGGCATGCTTATACTAGAAAAGTACCCCCAATATCCAGCCTGGGGGACCGGCATGACTCTGAATACATGTGAGTGAGTTTGGCTTAACACCGCTTTGAACAGTATTTATATTTCAGTTATATCCTGGCTTGTCATCTTGAAATGGGACGAAACCCACCATCAAAGGTTTCTGGCACGCCCAAGGAACTCAAGTCTACACGGCGAATTGCGACGCCTCAGACGACTGAGCCACTAGATGACTGTATAGGTAATTGGCAGAAAAACGCGAGATCGCGACATTGGTCAAGTGTCGCAATCTTGCGTTCTCGCGTTTTTGAAAATAGTTACATCTAACTGTATAGGCAATTGGCACAAACAGCGGAGAACGCGAGACCGCGACATTGGTGAAGTGTCGCAATCTTGTGTTTTTGGAAATAGTTACATATAACTGTATATGTAATTGGCACAAAAGCACGAGAACGCAAGAACGCGACATTGACCAAGTTTCGCAATCTCGCGTTCTTGTGCTTTTGTGCCAATTGCCTATATAGTTACATGTAACTATTTTGAAAATAATCGTCGTATTTGTCTGTAAATAATCGAATCAGGGCCAGACAATCCAGTGATTGACATCATGAGCATCGATCCACGCCTTTTACGGCAAGCATGGGTTGCTGAAGATCTATTCTACCCCGGATCTTCACGGGCCACGATGACATGCATCAACCAAGTCAGCCAGCCTGAGCACACGATCCCGTTAGTCGCCTCTATCCCAACTTTTACACTTTGACAGTATTAAAGAAGTTGTTATCCATACAATTTTGTCTACCTTGTCATCCGTCAACTTCTAAGTAATGCCTATCAAACACTTTGGTTCCTCACTCAGCTATCATGTTTCAACATGCTGACGTGGTTGATGTCATCGTAATCCAATTGCGAAGAACGATGCTCATGATGTGAATTGATAATCAACAATAATGACATCATAGACTACTGTACTTATTTAATCACCTTAAGCTGATAATGAGCTGAAAGAAGAGACGACCTATTTGCTGGAACCTTCTGTGATAACTGCAAAGGATATACACATATTTCATTACAAATGATTCCTGGTTAATTTGTTAGGTTGTTTTGCCCGTCGCCCAGGTTATTCCTTGCTGACAAACTCAGGCACTAAACATGATCAAAACGTTACTCGCTGACTTGCTTGATGCATATCATCGTATCCCATTTGCGTGGATCGATGCTTATGATGTCAATCACTGGACTGACTGGTCCAAACTCGATTATTTATAGACCGTCGTCATGTAGCTGGAATCCTGCTGAGTGCCGCGTTAAACAACAAACAAACAAACATAAATAAATAAACAAAACAGGCTGAAAACAGTCGCCGAAACACTGCGAACTTTAGGCCCAAAACACAACTGTCAAACACAAACACAAAATCACCATCAAATAATCCTTTGTTTGTTTGTCATTTTAATCATCATCAAACATGGGTGTATACATTCTTTTGCCCGGCAGTGGGTATCAGTCGTGCTGTTCCAGAGAGCATAGAGGTTAAGCTGTGGAATGGTGTCATCATACTACTACGTGAAACACGTAATTCAAACATCATTTCCTAACTAATAATCATCCACCAAATGTGTGCATATTTGATGAAATTAATAATAGCTTTAATTTACATTTCTCCCCGGCCATTTAATCTCTTCAACACGATTTGTGGCCTGTCGGTGTCAACTCGTTTCAGCCGGACACATTTAAAATTTATATCCACATAAATGACATCCTTTCATTAGGGTACTGTTTTTAATATCAATGAAGGTAACAGAGCCGTCAGCCGAGTACATGGAACGTCTCCTTGCACAATCAATCCAACCACACTCGTAGTTCTTTGGCTGCATGTGATTGGCGTTTACCAACTTATGATTACACCAAGCATTGGCACTTTTACCGGATTCAAAAATACCTTCTTTTGTCGTCATATGAATTGAAGTCACGGTCTTCGTGACGTCATAAAGGGTCACGTTATTCGCTCGCGCATATGCCACAATCCACATTCCGAATCCTACTCGTCCAATGACAATCTCTGGTACGCGATCCCATGGAAACAGGTGATTCGTGAAGAAGAAGTCAGAAGAACCCTCTCCGGGGTAGCGTCCACGTGATGCGTGACCTTTCACCTGACTGACGTCGGTGACAGTGACGTTGCCCTTCATGTCCACGTTCGTCCTTTTGCCCAACACCATCACAGGCCGTGACCTCAATACATCCCTCTCCTGTTTAACAAGTGCCTGCATTGTGGTAAGCAGGCCATCGTCAAAAACCAGATCACCGTTTGCAAACCCAAATAGGTCTGCGGTTCCTTTATACTGTGCGATAATGTCATTGAACATGCCTCTCAGAGTGGGCATGCTGGTATTGCCACACCCTGTCTCCCCAACCCCCCTCACCTGCCACCCGGCCTTCTCAGCGTTCAGCCTTGCACCCGGGTCGTCCGTCAGCAACACTGGTTTGATGTGCGTCAGCCAGGTGCGCCATGTTCCAAGCACACTACGCTGCACGTGCTCTTTTCCCTTTTTGTTAATCCACGTGGAGAAAAGCACGAGCAAGACATGCTCCGAGGTACCTGAGATTGTCCGGACTTTCTCCTGCTCTCCGGACTGTGGACTTCCGTCACGGTGTTCTTTCTTATGTGTGTCGACCAGCACCATGGTATTTTGTTTCATGGGCTTATTTCTGCTTGAAGCAATGTACAGAACAGTTGTTATCACACATGCCAACCACAACATTGCGACAAGCTTTGACCTGGTGATGTATCCTAGCATACTTGCTTTCCTGACTGACTGGACTAAAGAGACGTCTGTTGAAGGTTGTGATGTCGAGGTCACACATCCCTCTGAAACAGTTGGAATACGTTGCATACAAATATTCGATATATATCCTGATTTACACAGCGTCACGATTAGGTTCTAAGCTGAAACAGCTGGAGTAAGTTGATTAATGTCGATGTTTTAGATTGAATTTTGTCTGGCAGGAGCAATCGTTATACAAGGAAATTGTACATTATTTGTGCGTATTTGTTTGTTTGTTGTTAAACGCCGCATTCAGAAATATTCCATCTATATGATAACGGTCTGTCAATCATCTCATGACATGCATAAACAAAGTCTGCTAGCTTCACCACCTGATCCGGGGGCACGGGTGGCGCAGTCGTCTAAGGCGCCGCGATTCGCTGGGCAGAGTTGCGTCCCTTGGGCACGCCAGAAACCTATGATTGTGTGTTCGAATCCCGGTTCGCCCCGATTATGTTTCTAGGTTTGTCAGCACCATACCCGTACTCGTGGGTTTCACCGAAGTGGTAAACGTAGATCAAAGCTGCGTTAAACCCAACTCACTCCCTCGCCACCCGATCCCGTTAGTCGCAACTGATTCTGCAACACTTTGCACCACTATGGCTTTTCTGTACAGTGAACCAATAATTAACCTGTCCTCGTTAGTAGATCTTGGGTTAACTTTGATAAAATCAGGTCAGGTGAGTGAAATGGGGTTAACGTCGCGTTCAAGATTATTGCATTTATTGAGCGACGTGCTTGCACGCGTGTGTGTGCTTTCGCGTGTGTATGGCTGCTTGTACTAGTCCGGACTAATACCGAATTCATAGTGTCATGCTTCAGTTTGTGAATACTCTACTCGTACACAGTATACTGACCCCGAGTACTGTCTTTGGAATGAAGACGCAGCCGGGATCAAACCACCGACCGTGTGGACGCTCTATCCACCACACCACTGATCACGTTACGCCATGGGGCGTCTGAGTGAGTGAGTTGGGTTTAACGCCGCTTTTAACAGTATTCCAGTCATATCACGGCGTGTCAGCTTAATGTGGGAGGAAAGCCTGAAGTGATGCAGGTCTCAGACGTTTACCACTTCGGTGAAACCCACGAGCACGGGTCTGGTGCTGACAAACCTAGAAACATAATCGGGGCTAACCGGGATTCGAACCCACAATCATAGGTTTCTGGCGTGCCTAAGGGACGCAACTCTGCACAGCGAATCGCGGCGCCTTAGACGGCTGTGCCACCCGTGCCCCCAGAGACACTTTCACAGTATATACTATGTGTTACCTGTTAAAAGACACCCAGGAGAACACGCCTTTGTGTGCAGTAAAATAATAAAATATTTAAAAAACCTTATATCTTCTGTTTCTTTACTAATGAAGCTTAGGGGCTTTTGTCCCAGGGGTTGGGGCTCATGTCCCGGAGGTCTTTTGTCCAAGGGGGTTTTGTCCATGAGGGCTTTTGTCCATGAAGGCTTTTGTCCATGAAGGCTTCTGTCCATGAAGGCTTTTGTCCATGAGGGCTTTTGTCCATGAAGCCTTCTGTCCATGAAAGCTTTTGTCCATGAAGGCTTTTGTCCATGAGGGCTTTTGTCCATGAGGGCTTTTGTCCATGAAGGCTTTTGTCCATGAAGGCTTCTGTCCATGAAAGCTTTTGTCCATGAAGGCTTTTGTCCATGAAGGCTTTTGTCCATGGAAGCTTTTGTCCATGAAGGCTTCTGTCCATGAAAGTTTTTGTCCATGAAGGCTTTTGTCCATGAGGGCTTTTGTCCATGAAGGCTTTTGTCCATGAAGGCTTCTGTCCATGAAAGATTTTGTCCATGAAGGCTTTTGTCCATGAGGGCTTTTGTCCATGAGGGCTTTTGTCCATGAGGGCTTTTGTCCATGAAGGCGTCTGTCCATGAAAGCTTTTGTCCATGAAGGCTTTTGTCCATGAGGGCTTTTGTCCATGAAGGCTTTTGTCCATGAAGGCTTTTGTCCATGAAGGCTTCTGTCCATGAAAGATTTTGTCCATGAAGGCTTTTGTCCATGAGGGCTTTTGTCCATGAGGGCTTTTGTCCATGAAGGCTTTTGTCCATGAAAGCATTTGTCCATGAAGGCTTCTGTCCATGAAAGCTTTTGTCCATGAAGGCTTTTGTCCATGAAGGCTTCTGGCCATGAAGGCTTTTGTCCATGAAGGCTTTTGTCCATGAGGGCTTTTGTCCATGAGGGCTTTTGACCATGAAGGCTTTTATCCATGAAGGCTTCTGTCCATGAAAGATTTTGTCCATGAAGGCTTTTGTCCATGAGGGCTTTTGTCCATGAGGTCTTCTGTCCATGAAGGCTTTTATCCATGGAAGCTTTTGTCCATGAAGGCTTCTGTCCATGGAAGCTTTTGTCCATGAAGGCTTCTGTCCATGAAGGCTTTTGTCCATGAGGGCTTTTGTCCAAGGGGTTTTTGTCCATGAAGGCTTTTGTCCATGAAGGCTTTTGTCCATGAGGGCTTTTGTCCATGAGGGCTCTTGTCCATGAAGGCTTTTGTCCATGAAGGCTTTTGTCCATGAGGGCTTTTGTCCGTGAAGGCTTTTGTCCATGAAGGCTTTTGTCCGTCCACCACGCGAATAGCTCACCCACCCACTGAATGAACACCGTCGACCTTCGTAAGCAGCACGAGGGAATCAATATAATCATTGTCGGGGTCTAGTTGTGGTCGAAATAAAACAACAGTGTCACGCAAAGGGCGTACACGCCTTACTGACTAATTGATATTGTTGATGGAAATTGGTAATAAAACAACAGATGCTGATATTGTGCGTCGCCCAGGTGTATGGACAATGGAATTGCTATATGTAGTACAATACTTATAGAGGAATACATTTGAAGTAAATTCTTTTCAGAATATGTCAATATGAATATAGAAAATGTCCTTGAAAGCAATCCGCTGTTGATTCGATCATACGGTAGCCAAGGACAGTGTGACGCCTAACCAACAGAGGAGCCGACTCGAAGTTGTCTAGTAGTGTACGCTCTCGTGACGTTAAGAAAAACATAAATAGACACACTGAGAAAGCAGTCAAGTGAATTCTACTAACTTCATTAGTAACATCGGCCAAAAGGTCAGTAAACTACGAATTTACTATCCTGCCTGGTATATTTCAGGCGGGAAGGGTGGAGAGAATGGGTATCATAATTCAGTTTCAGCGTCAAAACCGCGTGACATTCCTCCCTCCTATTGGATTGCCTATTTGTTTTAGTGAAAACCAAATCCTATATATGTTACCATATTTTGCTAATTGTTCATTGATCTTCTGTGATTATTTACTGATTTCTCAATCATGTTCTGTAGAAACAGAATGTTGGGTTAACCTCCGCGTTTCAACTTGGGAATCACATCGTAACAATTTTCATCACTTTTACGTCCTGGGGGATCTGTTTTGGCAGATAATCGAGACTGGTTATGCTCTGGTGTTGACGTTCTATATGCTTCTATTTTCGCATTCCCTTTCCCTCAAAAGTGTTCTGGTGTAATCTTAATATCCTGAAACCGATTATCACGATACATATTTCACGGTTTCTCCTGAAACCGATTACCACGATACATATTTTACGGTTTCTCCTGAAACCGATTATCACGATACATATCTCACGGTTTCTCCTGAAACCGATTACCACGATACATATTTCTCGGTTTCTCCTGAAACCGATTATCACGATACATATTTCACGGTTTCTCCTGAAACCGATTACCACGATACATATTTCTCGGTTTCTCCTGAAACCGATTATCACGATACATATTTCACGGTTTCTCCTGAAACCGATTACCACGATACATATTTTACGGTTTCTCCTGAACCGCTGCACATCAAGAAATGTACACATATACTTCAACCATTAAAGAATATTCATGCTTATGATATTGTCGAAATCGGGAAATGGACTCTTACATATGTCTTATGATTATTGAAAGGGTTTTGTCGTTATTATTTATCAAATCATTTCCATGCTGGACACGACCTATGAAGATTCGGGGTAGAATTGGTCTTCAGCAACAAATGCTTGCCTTTAGAGGCGACTTTGCTTGTCGTAAGAGGCGTAAGAGGTCTGGACCAGACAATCCAGTGATTGACATCACGAGCATCGATCTACGCAATTGGGATACGATGACATGCATCAACCAAGTCAGACCCGATCCCGTTAGTCTACTGAGTGCGGCGTTAAACAAAGAAAGAAACTGATTCCTGGTCATGTTTGGCTTGTTATTTAGAGGTTGTTTGTAATAATGACAGTGCAAAGCTGTGGTCATTGTAGTTCCTACAATCTGATTTACTGAATGGGTCAATTTCTACTCCATTCTTATCAGGATATATATATATGTGAGAATATAAGTCAGGCCCACCGAGACTGACTGCTTTCACAGCACTGGAATGTCGGAGAAACGGGAATCCAAGTGCAAGTTGAGGGAATATCCTTGCAGCTTCACGGTATCCTTATGAGGTATGAGGTTGACACACGTTGACACCCCTCCCCCCGCCAACGTTAGAAAACTTGGAACTTTTCCTTACATGGTTTTTAGATTTGCTAAATGCCAACTTATGTTGGAAGACCCTGTTAACTGCGTTGCTTGTCAGAGATGACTAAATTGTATCGGTTGGTCTAGCAGGGTGACCCGGTTTATTACGTGTGTTGTGTGGCAGCGGATGCAGTATTTTATTTATAATGATTGTAAGTGGAAGCAGTTTGATTTAGGCGCTCGTATAATGCGAGATTTGGTAATGACCTTGATTTAGAGTGACCTCCCTTGGTTGTGTTCCGCTGCGGGGACCTTGTCTCCTGCCATGGTTACGGTTGTTGAAGGACGACATTATTCCAGTCACTTCGACGCAGCATTTCGGGAATGAGAGCAAGGTGTTGGCTATTCGAGTCCTTCTCGCTCAATTTGACCCAATACGGAATTGTTACCTATCGGAAAACGCCGACGTTTGTCTGTTTCCAACACTATTTCCTGTATTCAAGAAGGGTTCACGTTCCTCATTCAAGACATTCAACTGTGTACATTCAGTTGCACTCTGCAATATTGCAGCTATATGACGGCGGTCTGTAAATAATCGAGTCTGGACCAGACAACCCAGTGATTGACATCATGACCATCGATCCACGTAATTGGGATCGATAACATGTATTAACCAAGTCAGCGAGCCTGACCACCCGATCCCGTTACTCGCATCTTACAACAAGCAAAGTTACCTTTTACAGCAAGCATGGGTTGCTGAAGACCTATTCTACCCGGACCTTCACGGGTCTGTATTGCCTTTTATACCTATAGAGGTTATCACGCGAGTGTGCTTGGGGATGGTAAATATCCTGCATTAGGAATAAACATTGTATTTAGCGAGCCTTGGCGAGCTAAATACATAGTGTTTATTCCTAATACAGGATATTTACCATCCCCAAACACACTCGCGTGATAACCTCTTTATCTTATAATGTCTTTCTTTAATTCTGTGCTACAAAATCGCTTTCCCTCTATCAAAACATTACCGAAACGTTGCGAGTTTTCCTGGAATGCGCGCATTAATATTTATTACGTCAAAGTGTAAGTGATGTGTCAGTCGGACAGTGACAGTAGCCAATATAGTTCCAACTGAAATCTGTTTCTTATACAGTGTCGAAGCAACATATACGCAAAAAAACAATTGTTTTTAATTGCCTTTCGCGGCAATCCATCGGTCTGTCCGGTTACTGCCCTTTGTAAAAAAAGGAACTACTTTAACCCTAGTCTATGAGACGTCACGACCACAGTCAGACGTTGTTGACAGTCGGTCGGTCCTGTCATAACGTTAAGAAGTGTAGTCAGATGTACACACAGCGACAAAACGAAACAAGGTAACAATTCAAACATATTAGGGCCAAATCCAACTATTTTAATTTGTGGAGAAGGTTTCAAGCCACAGAGGTCTACAAGCACAGATATGGGTACTGATCCCGCTTGGCTAGGCCTCGTGCCCTCGTAAAATTGTTTCGAAATTTATATCTCCAAAGTTGCCAAAACTTATAAAATGCCTTAGCTACGTCACATTTAGACACTGTTTTTCAGTATATTAGACTGTTCTTTTGATAATTATAGCAATTATCCAGTTTATCCAGATTCCCGATGGTTAATTTTGACTCGATCGCCGAATGACGAGGTCGACGCCATGTTTGTTTATAAACAGTGAAAGTAGTCCCTACTTGACCTTTGATATTTGCATCTCTATCCGCATATGACCCCCAACGGATATCGTTTTTATCCGTTGGCTTTATCCTGCCGAGAAACCTACCCATTATATGATAAATATCCTTATCCTGTTTATTTCAAATAATTGTTTGATTGTTCATTGATGGCTTTTTGCTGATTTCACACTATTATGGTGATCGAGAAGGTACATTGCTTTGTCGATTTCAATTACGGCCTCGAGAAAGTGAGAAAGCGATAACATGAAACAAGCAAGCTGTGTACAGTATCGCTTTCTCATCTCGTGTTATCGCTTTCTCATCTCGTGTTATCGCTTTCTCATCTCGTGTTATCGCTTTCTCATCTCGTGTTATCGCTTCATCGCGGCCGTAATTGGTGTAAGAAACCCTACAATTGAGTTATGTCACATTGCACATGTTGTATGCAGTACAGCACACGATCTGAAACGTATACGTAATTGCAGTAAAACTTAGTTTACCATAACATTCTACCGGTAAAAGAAGTTATTCCGAGTACAAGTTTTTACAATGCTGGTAGTATATACAAGGCAATTAGATTCCTAAATGCAAGATGTATAGCTCTACAAGGCGAAGTGACACAGTCATACTACCACAGGGTGCCGGGAACTACCTCGGGAATGTAGGGGACGTCACACGAACCATCACGCTGCCAAATAGGTGATCTGGAACATGTCTAAGAAGAGTTTTTGCTCAATCATTAAGCAACCACATCAGAGTTGTGTGTACGTATACCCGCAGAACTGTGTAAAACAGGTACACTATGATCAATCTCACAAAATACTGACCTGTTCAGACTGATACCCTGCAAGGTGTGAGAGTGATGTAAACCCTTGAGAAGACACGTAAGTCCGGCTTCATTCAAAATAGACATAATCTACCTTAGTTTGTTTCGCACTGAGCAAATTCTGTCCTTTTTATGTCAAGACTAGATAGGCTTACAATACTCTAGTTATTAGAGTGAAGGCACATATCTTGTAAGGTGTCCTACAAGCAGCTGATGTGTCAAAAGTAGCTATTGTCGTGCTATGGTTATGAACATGTAGAGATTCACGTTAGACCTTTATGGCCCCGTTCCACAAAGCGATCTTAGGTTTGCGATTGTAGGTCAGTGCTAAAGTGTAGGAATGACGATTGTCTTAGCGCCAAGATCGATGCATGGATGGGGTTCCAGCACTTTATTTCTTATATGAGGCAACTCCGTTGGGACGGACGGTCAGGCTCGGTGACTTGGCTGATTATGTCTCCTGACGGTGTTGCACAGTGCTCATGATGTCAACCACTAGTTCGTTTGGCTTAGACTCGATCATTTCCAGGCCGCAGTAATATTGGTGGAACAGGGAAGAACAAAGAATTACAATGGTTATGATAGCCGAATATATACCACCCAAAAAGCATATGTAGTTTTCAAGAGATTCATTGTATGACTTTAGGCCTTTAAAGTGATACGTGGGAGTTTTGAAAATTACTTTGAGTTCATCAAACGTTAACGGCGAAGTCTTTGCATGTTACGTCAATGTTCTTAAACTGAAACACAACACTAGTCTCTGAGGAAATGACATCGCAAGTCAGTATCTCGTGTGTCCG